TCGGTCTAGATGAAGTGGGGACATACAGTGTCTCTCTTTCGTAGCCTGCCTTGCTTCACGCATCAGTAAAGCTTTCATATCCCTCCACTTTCTGTCAAAATCCAGGAGCTTGTTGTGTTTTTTGTGGCTGAGTAGTATTCCACAGAATATTTGTGCCACAGGTCTTCAATCCATTCGTAAAGGGGAGCACACTGCCTCCAGAGTCAGGAGAGAATCATCCCCAAGATGACGTAGGGACTCCCATGAGAAAAAGTTCTCTAGCCAACTAAATGCAATAGAGCCTGTCTGTGCCACTCAAAACAGCAGGGAACCAAACAAAAGAAAGCAAAAGTGAAACAAAACGAGTCACTCACTGGCACTCGCAGCTATGCCAGGTTCAGTGACTCCAACCGAAACCATTTGGACGGTATCGACAAACAGAGTAGCCCGAACCCGCAATTCGATGGCTTACAGCTTAACTGGTTCGTTGGCTGCAGAGCCTCCTGCCGTTTCCTGAAACTCAGCTATGTGGTTCAATTCTCTGCTGGTCTGGTATTAACGGACGGGAAATAATGCCTTCCTACACAATTCGTGGAAGACTTGGAATGTCTGTGTCAAGGCTGGAGGCTGGGGGCGGGTGACGTGGAGAGCCCAGACTGGGGCATGTGGTGGGGTTTTCGTCTAGGAAAGGATATGGAAATGGCCCATAGCCCTCAGGGGGCATGAGCAAGCCAGACAGTGACCCCAGAGCCAGCTGTCTCTATTCCCTTCAGAGGTCATTTAGTGACCCAGGCTGAGAGAACGGTCCACAAACATGGGTGAGGGGTGCACCAGCACTTTGGAGTTCTGAAGGAGCGGCTCGGTGAAACACACCAAGCTGTGAGAAACAAATACGGTATTTCGCCACTAAAAACTATCGAGTGTCGGGACCAGCAGATGACGGAATGGTTACATCGCTGGATCCCCACGTAGTCAATGGCGGCTCGAATCCCAGATTCAATGGCTTAACAGTCACACTGGGTGCATGTGCGTGGGGGCCCAAAATCCCGAGAGGAAAATGGAGGAGGAGGGATTGTCGCGTGGCCATCCCCACTTGGGGATGATTTCTTGCTTCCTGTCTGTCTCTCTTACTCTCGGACGAGGACACACATCCTATAGCAAAAATCTCTCCCTCTAAAATTAAAAAGAAATAATAAAAATACCGAGTGTCTTCATTCACTGGTAGAATCTGAAAGACTTACCGATGATCTTTTAGGTGATCCTTTGATCACTGTCTGCCTTTTCCTCTAGACTCTGTAGGAAATTTAAGAAGAAAAGTGTGAGAACTTCAATAGGAAATCTTCAAACAAAGAAAACCATTTTTCAAAAAAGAGAAACAAAGAGAACTTGCTGGGACAGTCTCACATTCGAATGTTTCTTTCTTCCAGATGGGAAAATTGCACAGGGTTAGCATGAAAGGAAAAGATGCCAACTTTTAATAATGTCGGAAAAGAATCGAGAGTCACTCAGATCTCTCCAATAGTACAGATTCCTCCCCAACACGGTGCTTTAAGGAAACTGCAGTGCTTTTAGGACGGGCCGGTGATGAGGAGGCCATGGATTTCCTTCTGCCTGGCTCTGTACTGCACCTGTTGCCAGTGCTCTGAGACCTGAGAAAGGACTACATCGTGTTTCTACTGGAAACAAGATCCCCAAAACAGCTCGGTTTTCGCCTGGTGTCAAGATTGCTCACATGACAAAACTGAGGGAAATGGTGTGCGGCCTTTGACAACTAAGAGATGATCTCGACAAGATTCCGGGAAGAGGAATGACCATCCAGATATCATTTTCACACGTTAGAATGTAATTGAGAAGAGGGATTATTGAACACAGATAGTCAAAGTACCGATTTCAAGGCTTCAATCTAAGAAGATCTCATCACAGACTATGACAAGAACACAAAATCTCTCTGTTGGAAGAAATAAGACCTTCACCTGAGTGGAATTTCACACCGATCCATACTGGAAAGGGCACAGATAATCCTTTTTTCTCTTCACGTGTCATTCCATGGACTCCAATAAAAACTCAAGCCAATTTTATCCTAGACAAGACATACGATAGAAAAGGGAAGGTGCACGGGAACCAGAATGTGTATATAAATTTGAAAATACACAAGAGTGAAAATGAATCACCCCATTTGGTGTTGAGAGAGGAAAAGGGCTGTAGCAATCAAACAGTGACGATGGGAAGTTTCGGGGGCGGGACAATAAACGACACGAGGAATCACTTCAATCGCTAAAGCGAAGTTTCCATGCACCACACGGCAAAGTGTAAGTGGGAAAGGCGCCCCGATCATTAAGGGCGTAACGGGTTATACACATTTCAGGGATCCACACAAGTTGACTCTTCACCCTCATTTTACACTTCCCAAGAGCAAGTGTAGCATGCACCAGAGGCTAAGTGTACAGGAGGAAGACCAGGAACCAAGACCTGGACGGCTAGAGGAGATCTACGAAGCATTGAGGATGAGAGGAGACTTGCTTAAATTTTCAAGAGATAGGGCTGGCCCTATACGGATTAAGAGAGACAGATACATGATCAAATGAGGTTCAAATCCTAGTCCCAGTGGATTGAACCATGCCAGCGGCATGGGCAGCTTTACGCCAAATCCTGACAGGATAGCGAGATGAAGATAAATGTTTGTGAGGTATGTGGGGGCTTTCTGCTTTTCTCGTTGGACGTCTGTGTGTGTGTGTGTGTGTGTGTGTATTTACACTTCCCAAGAGCAAGTGTAGCATGCACCAGAGGCTAAGTGTACAGGAGGAAGACCAGGAACCAAGACCTGGACGGCTAGAGGAGATCTACGAAGCATTGAGGATGAGAGGAGACTTGCTTAAATTTTCAAGAGATAGGGCTGGCCCTATACGGATTAAGAGAGACAGATACATGATCAAATGAGGTTCAAATCCTAGTCCCAGTGGATTGAACCATGCCAGCGGCATGGGCAGCTTTACGCCAAATCCTGACAGGATAGCGAGATGAAGATAAATGTTTGTGAGGTATGTGGGGGCTTTCTGCTTTTCTCGTTGGACGTCTGTGTGTGTGTGTGTGTGTGTGTGTATGTGTGTGTGTATGTGTGTGTTTCTGAGTCTCTCTCTGGAGGACTTAGATGCCATCCTGCAAATGAAAAGGAATTGAACTATAAACCATCACATATAGGTACGAGTTTCAAGTGCCACATGAACACTTGCAAAAGTCTCACAACAATGGATGTTACTCCACATATGGGGGGGGAAGCCACATGATGAATGATATCAACTAGGAAGTAATAATAGCTAAGAAGAGCCCCCCAAAATGCAGTGTACACCAAGGAAACAAACAGACCCTGTGGAAAGATATGATAGGATCGAGAACATCAGACCAGGACTGGCTCCATGGTGTGGTGGTTAAGGCAGTTGGATCCCACGTGGCAGACTGAGCAGTGTGTGTCCCGGACCCAAATCTGGAAAAGAGGCAGACACGGAGGAGAAAGACCGTCAGCACGACCATTCCACAGGCAGTGCGAAGACTTGCTTTCTTTTCTCCCTGCCTCTCACAGATGAGCACTCATGCCCTAACGTGAATCAGAAAGAAAGGAACCGAAGGAAAAAGGGAAGGAGGGAAGGAAGGAAGGAAGAGAAAGAATTCAGATGAGGACCATGGTGAACGATACATCTTTTCGATGATTTATAGTGCCACAATTTCTAAAAGACGAGGTGCAGAGGGAAATACACATGCGCACAAATAGCTACTGTTCTTAGAGAAAATATGTATTCTTAAACCGCAGGTGCCTAAGTACTTTGTGCTATGCTGCCTTGGGTACGCCTGTTAGAGCGCATTCATGCAGAGGGTACAATAACAAACGTGATTGGATCACCTGGCATAGGGCGGGGGACCGGCTACCTCACGAGGCCTTGACCCAGGGTAAAAGTCAGCCTGGAGAGCCAGCTTCCCTCACTGCCCCGTTCTCTGGCATTCTGGAAGCTGCCTCAAGTCCAGGCCTATCTGTCCACAGAATATCTGAGCAGCCACCTCTCAAAACTCTTCAGACAGACAGCCGGAAGGACAGTTAGAGTGCAGGTTAGTGTCTTTCCAAGTTGGGTATTCACGTGACCTTGACAAATGAACAGACGAGCAAACAAACCAACAGACCAGAAAACCCTTGGGCAATATCTTTACCGATATGCCATTAGGTGATGGGATAAGGCTCTCTCATTGCTAACAGTATTTCTTAGTACAGAGTCTGATAAAATACCTCACTCGAAACACTTGCTAACATTTCCAAGGAAATATTAGGTGGTTGGGAAAGTCATGATATAGTTTTTCTGTTTTTATATACAAAAAAGGGTCCTGACTATCCCAACAGTACAACATACAGCAAGCAGCATTCTCAAGTCCCTGGACAGGTGTATCCGCAGTTCGGATACACCTAGTGATTTGGGCCATGGGCGTTGCATGCCCAGGGATTTCACTTCCGTAGGCGTTTCACATGAAGGACAGAGTCGTTACAGCGTGAGCAGGTAGTGTGGAGGTGAAGGGGGCTGGATGCCAATGGACTGACGGCATATCTGGAGCCTCCACCCGGTGTCTACACCATCACGCCCAGCGTGCGTGCCTGCGTGCCCAGAGTCCCTAGGGGAGAAAGGAGGAGAAGGGACTTTGGCGTGGCCATCTCCCTTGGGGGTGATTTCTCTCTTTCTCTGTCTCCCACAAGGGTGCAGGCCCTATAGCAAAGTGAAAGACATTAAGTATGATTCCTACACTGTGGAGGAGACTCGGGATAACAGGTGAGTCCATCCGCTCCGAGACCACAGGGAAAGACATCATTGTTATGTAAGATTGCCTTCTGAGAGTGCCTCCTGCAAGGTTCAATGTGACAGTTCAAAATTTAGAGGGCAGAGCGCACGTTAATTCTGATTTTCAAATGCAGACGGCCCTTTCTATTGCCGATCCTCTCTACCAAAGATTCCTAAAACAGGGTCCTGCTCCTGTGCTAGGAAATCATGGCAGAGCGAGGTGAGCTATGTGGGAACAGGATGCCAGCCCGTGAGAACCTGATAGGAGCAACTGGCAGTGAGGGCCCCTCTCGGGGAAAGAGGTGACGAGGGACTTTTGTTTCTACGTGAATGTGACACCTTTGTTTCCTTTCCTTGTGACTCAGGCAATCCAAAACTCCACCTGTGAGCGAGACTGACCTGACTCTCCCAAGAGATGAGGCAAATGGCAGGTGGTCCCCCACGTCATCGGGTCCGTGGACTCTCTACTGCCCCGAGCACAAAGAAGGAGCAGAAGGAACCCGATGCTCAGAGAGCTCCCCAAGCAGAGGAGGAGGACCCCAGGGTAAGTGGGTGTGTGCATCTGTCAGGAACCAGAGAGCAGGAGGCATCAGTTCCGTGGTCCCCAGAGGCTGGGTTTGACAAGGGAAAGGGGTGCCTCCGTAGCTCAGTTGTCCTTTCCCAAGCCATGACGGCCTGCAAGGGGCCTCCTCACCAGCCATCTGGCCCCACGTGGAGATCTGAGGAGCAAACTCATTCTATCTGGTGTCATGCCAAGCCAGTTCGGGGTCCTGTTGTAGAAATGTGCCTCCCTATCTTCACTCCTAGAACATCCACTCCTTCTTTCTAGTGTCTTTCCAGACAACGGGTACTAGAGGAAGTGCCGGATCGGAAAGAGCCCGGCCCTCCTCACCTCCACACGTGTCTCTGTCCCCGTCCCAAATACGTTACTCTGCCCTGAACCCCCGCCCTCCTCACCTCCACACGTGTCTCTGTCCCCGTCCCAAATACGTTACCCTGCCCTGAATGGAAAACCTGCCTTTATGCTGACCTTGGACAGCTGCCTGTGCCTTTTTTGCAGATTTGCCCATGCCTCTCCCTTCTCACCCGCAGGTGAAGTGCAGGGACTGCGGGGCCTTTGGACACACGGCAAGGAGTAGGCGGTGCCCCATGAAGTGCTGGGCCGGGGCCCTGGCCCCACAGCCCTTGGGCCCCAGTACAAAAGAGAACCTGGGACCAAAGAAGCCACTGAACGCCCACGACGCAGCGCCCTTCAACAAGGCTGAGAGAGAGAAGGAACAGAGACAAAGGTGAGCAATGGGGAAGGGTGTACGGACACCTAGGAGGGGCCGTCTCTCCATCTCTACACCCCGGGTGTCGTCCTCTTAGGTCGTAGTGACAGTAGGGAGATAAAGGGCCCATATCCTCCAGGGTCCACATTCGGGGAGTTCATAGTGCTCCTGGGCATTCCCCGATGGCGCACGGCCTGGGGACCCCTTAGAACTTCTTCCACGAGAGACAGAGACTGCATGGGTTCTAAGGGAAAGTTGTGATTGGAAACACCTGCAAGGCTTCTAATATCTCCCATGTGGGAGGGCACAGGCTAAGCAAGGCTCACGGGGCTGCACTCTCTGTAGCAAACCAAACACGCTACGGGACTCGGCCCATAAACCTTCCTCCCTGTCTTGGGAAGGAAATCTGCGTGCATCCCCTTAACATTGTTTGTTCCCCAGGCAAGAAGAGGAAAAGAGGAAGGCTCTACTCCAGAAATTTCCCAAGATGCTCCCAGGAAGGCAGCAGAAAGGTTGGAAGGAAGTGACAGAGTCTTGTGACTATGTCAGGGTGAGTCACCTCCCTGCTCCCACCTCCTTCTCTCTTCTGAGTCAGCCCGATGTGCTTTCCTTCCTTCGTTGGCCCTTCTCAGGAGGTAGTGAAAATCCATGCGGGCTCATGGGACCAGGTCATGCGCTTTTCCAAAGCCGGTTTAGTTGGTTTTTCATGGCCGCTTGCATGCCTGCCAAGAATACGCTTCTGCGTCCATGGCACTCTTTGTTAAGCACATGGCTCCAAAAGATAAAATTCCTATATCCACGCAAATGGACCATTACAGTAGAAGAATGGTCCGGAATTGTTCATCCGGACTCCTTAGCCAGCACCCGGCCCTCAGAGCGCTTAGAGCCTTTTGGGCTCCGTGACGGAGGACGTGAAAGAACTTTTCCTTTGGTTCTATTTCACCTGCTAGAGAGCGTGAGTGCTCACCAGAGGGAAACAGAGACAGAGAGAGAAGGGACAGCAGAAAGCACCCTCGCCCCTTGGGCAATGGTGATGCTACAATTCCTTCTCGTCTGTCCCTCCGTGCTTGGGATTTCAGGCACGTGTGCCTAAAAGGGGTGCCATGTGTTTCTCAAACCACCGAGTTGGGGATTGGAATCCCTCGGTCGGCCATGAGGGATCCAGTGCATATTTCATCCCCCAGGCCTCGGAGCCAGCCCAGGACAACTTTTTTGGCTTCACCCACAAGACTGGATATTCTGATGGGTGTTAGGTTGCAATTGGACTTTAGAACAGAAGCACTTGACATGTCCATTGGTTTCCTCTTGATTGCTCCTGGGCTGGTATAGCCACTGGTACCGAGGAGGACTGCCGGGAAACAGCTTGTGGATAAACTGAGTTTGCTATGCCCCGTGTTTTTATTGGAATGATTTTCATGTTCGTGGATGGTGAGCAGTTCCTAACCGATCCTGTCCATGTGTTCTCTTCTCCTGCAGCATCCAAGCAGGCCGATGCCGGTCTACACAACAAAGAGTAAATCTGCCTCGGACTCCAGTCTTCTGAGTCAGCCGCCTGTCAAGGAATCCGATTCAGTCATTTCGGCCAGCCCGTTCCCGTCGTGAAGCTGGCAGACAACGGTCCTGCTGGTGGCTCCCTCGAAGGGCCCCAGGCTGCCTCCCAAACCCTTGGGCTGGGACACACGTTCCACCCGCAGGCAGAAGCCAAGCGTCCCGCTGTGAACACACAGGCCGACCCAAAGCCTGCCACACAACGGCTGAGCCAGGTCTCCAACCTCAGAAGCAAGGCACCAGGCAAGAGACCCGCTGTGAGTTCCATGCGAGGTTGCCACAATCTCCCCAAGAAACCGAGACTTGACTCATCCCAGACGCCCCGTAAAACCACGGAGACACCTGAGCTGGAGGCTGTGCACATTCTGCCGCCTCCGTCAAATCCAACCGGACTGACAGAAGCAGTGTCACCCCGAGTGACCAAGGATACGCTAAGCCCGCTGCCGAGCTCGGACCTGCAGCCTCGGCACGACAGACCTCGCCTGAACACTGACCACGCCAGCACCGTGTCCCACCATCCCCCGCCCAGCCATGTTCCCGGCCAGCCCCTCAGAGTGGTCTTCAGGAGGTTGGACAATGGATGGTGGAGCTCCAGGTTAATGACCTCTCCCTCGCCCTGTCCTCCTGAGAGGTCCACCCCTCCTGCTCAGAGCTCTCACGTCCCGGAGAAGTCTGAAGGACACTGTACCCGGGTCCCACTGAGTGTCCTCTATGAGGACCTCCGGCTTTCTTCCTCCTCTGAGGAGAGCGACTGGGATTGAGAAACCCCACACAAGGGGGAAAGCACAGCCTCCAGCCTCCTGCGACTTGGACAAGCTGTTCGGCCCAAGACAGCATGCAGGGAGCAGCTGTGTCTGCTGCATCGTAACCTGCCCAATCTCTGGTGCACGTGCAAAGGCTGGAGCCCCACATCCTGCGGGAAACATACCCGTTGACCATTTCAATGACGTAATCCTAAATTCCCTTTCAAAGGGCATGTACCAGGTGCTCACAGAAAGGCTTTCTAAGGTTTACTGTACAATAACTGAGAATGTGCAAGCGGAAATCTGACAGTATCATGTTACTACGAAGCTCTGCAGTTCGTCTGTATTTGGTGCCCGCTTGACAGAATTTTTGAAACCTCTGATGAAGGACTCCCTATGGAATCTTCATCTTCTTTGCAGCGCCCGGACCTCACATGAGAATTGGTCTTTGTGAAAGGGTTTCAGTGGAAACGATGACGGAAATGTTCTCTTGGCCTGATCATCGTAATGATCTAAAGTCATTGTAAATACGTGTTTCTCAAAGTTGCCTGAATTGAAATAAAATTCTTCCAAATGCACATGTGGCTTTCTCTTTTACCTTCAAGGCGATACCAGTCACATTTTGGTTATTTTCATTTTTTTGACAATCACATTGTTTATTTAGAGATTTTTGCTCTAGGGCACGTGTGCTTGCCAGAGACACAGAAAAAGACAAAGAGACAGAAATTAAGGAATTATTTCCCCCCCCGGGGGATATTTACATACCGCAAACCCTTCTCCTCCGTTATCCTCTCAGATTTCGGGCACACACACACACTCCCAGCCAGTGTGAGTTTTTATTTCTCTAGGTATAATCTTTTTATTTCTCTCTCTCTTTATTTTTTGCAATTTTATTCATTTTTTTTACATTCTTTGTATTTCATTTTCTCTCTTATATTCAGTCCCATTATATAGTTTACAAACAATATTTATGTTAATTTTATGCCTACGTTTTTATTCGTGGAAAGAATGAGGACAGTCTCAAGGTCTTTGCTTTTTCCAATCTAAAATTTCAGGCAGAACCTAGCCCCACTGCCTCAAAATATGCATAGTAATGATGTCCCCTTCTGCATTTTCCTTTTATTTTTTTCATTTTAGTTTTCGTCTTCAAATGGAGTGAGTTTTATATGGGGACGTGACATGTTTCATAAACAAGGAAAAACAAACTCAGGTGGAACAAATGTATTCATCAGGGTCATCACCCTTTCTCTGTCTCCTTCCTCCCCCTTTGTCTTGCCCTTTTCAGCCCTGACAGCTCCCTTTTGTGCTGCATCAGGCTTTCCTTCAGTTCAATATCCAACAACATCCATTTCGTATTGTTCCTTCACATCAGAAGCCTTCTTCTCACCAGGCTGTTTATCAGCAGCCACAGGGTTATCCCACAGCTCTCCAGGTTGCTTTGCAACATCACCAATGGAGAGGCCAGGATTTCTCCTTTAGTTCTTGGGTGATATTCAGAACAGAAGAAGAAAAAAGGGTGAAGAAGGCCTCTTGGGTTGTTGGAACTTTTTTGTTCTTACCCATTTAGGAGGTATATAGGTTTTTATTTCTCTTTCAAAATGGACCTTGTCTGACTTTGCCATATCTTCATATTTTCCTTTCTCTTTAGCAGCTATCATCCTCCATACCTCTGAGCATGTCAGAGAAAACTCTGAGAAGTTGACAGAAGCCCCTGGGTGTTCTCTCTTGTTTTCCTTTCACTAAGTTTGCCCAAAGAATGTTTATGATGACATTTTTCCCCTTGGTTTCCTACAAAGTCACTTGTCCATGTTTAGTTATCTTTCCTTCGCCAAGCCCATAGTTGCCCAGAGCCTGTCTGACTCTCCCTTGTCCTAATGCTGTCTGTCTGGAGCCCCATGTACTGCACTGACTGAGAGTCGGAGCCAGACACAGACTTTTCACTGTCTTTACTCTGGGAGTGAATTTTCTGCATGTTCAAGTGTGGTAAGAATTGCATTCTCAGTTTGGTTCCCGGTACAATCCCCTGAGTTGTTCACAAAATTTTGGTGATCACAATCCAACTTTTTTATGCCATACACTTAAATATATGCAATTTTATTTGTCTTTTACACCTTGATAGAGCTTTAGAAGTTTTTTTTTTTTTCAAAAAATGTATTATTATTATCATTATTATTCTCCAGTTTGATCAGAGAGAGACAGAGAGAGAGAGAGGAAGTGAGAAATCAAGCCACCAGGTCCAAGACTTGAACCGTGGTTGGCCATGTGGGAGTCCAGCGCCCCTATCCACCACGCCACCTGCCGGCTCCTAGAGCTTTAGAAGCTTTCAAACTTTGCCCTACCTCAGACACAAAATACTTACAGAGTCTTCTGACAAGTAGTCAAACTCAAGTATTGCTGGGCATCCCAGGAAGAGCTAACAAGTCATACACAAGCTGTGTCCTTTCCCCAACTTGGTAGTAAGTCTGCTGGAATCAAGAAAGATTTTTTTAAGAGGTTTTTGCTATAGGACATGTGCGCTCACCAGACAGACAGAGAGAGACAGAGAGACAGAAACCAAAAAATCACCCCCCAAGGGGGATGGCCATGCCACAATCCCTTCTCCTCCTTTCTCCTCTAGGGATCTTGGGCATACACGTACGTGTGCCCGGCGTGAGTTTTAAGCCACTGGGTCTGGAACATGAACCGTGGCCGACTTCGTGGGAGTCCAGCGACATAGCCATTATGCTAATTGCTGGTCCCTTTTTTTTTTTTTTCTTTTAGAGGTTTTTGGAATCAAGAAAGATTTTTATGACACTATGGGTAGAGTACTTCCTGAGGAAAAAAGATAAGTGCTCCATCCTTCCAATACCACTTGATCTGTATCATTATATAGGCCTAAGTTCAGCTTGGATGATAGACTTTAGAGACCCAAGAGATGGCAGTGGGAAGTAAGGTCAGAGAACCAAGTAGCCAATCTTGCTTCTGGAATTGTACTGTGTGAACAACGCTCTGAGAGGTCTGGGCCTCACATCTCAGATGGGATGACTCTGAGCCCTCAGAGTGGACCCATGCTTTCCAATGTTAGCAAGGTGACAGGTGAGGCTTATGCTGGTCCAGAGAGCCCCCTTCTGGTAGTACTCAGCTGGAGACAGCAAGGGCAGGACATGTTGTCCTGTCCAGGATCTGCTTAGCAGATTATGATCAGAGGAAAACACCCCAAAGTGGAGATTAAGCTCAGGCTCGCCTTCACTCAACTTTCTCTTTCAGGGCCAGTGATAGGATTTTGTTGATGAAGTGATCTTCAGAGTTTCTAGTTTCCACCCAGATCGGTGTCCCCATCATCCTCCATTCCTAGGATCTGTGGTCATTGTGGCTTTCACAATCCATACCTACCTTCGATGGCCTGAGTCCAGCAACTGAGCCATGCTCTGAGGCTGGCTCCCCTATGTGTGTCCATCTATCACAAAAGCTTTGCTGGTGGTTTCTTCACTGTCATCTTCCACTAACCAAACCTGTCAGGTCACCCTTAGGGATGGGCTCTCCCATTGCTCTATGCACCTGGGTGCCACTCCTTCTCCTAGCCCTTGGCTTCTGCAAACCAGTCTTCCCTGAGGCCCCTGTCCTGGGTTGTTTTCAGCCCACAGCCACCTCAGGTTGGTCCCTCATAGTCAATGATTCAGGGAGGACTCTTACCCTGGGCTGTTGACTCATCAGCAACAACCTGGGAACACCCTGTGTCCTACTGTCCCAGGTCCCATCCTACTGACAACCTGGTAGGTTTGACCCCATTGCTGATTTCCCAAGGGAAGTGAGCTCACCCGGGCATAGGCGGTTTTATCCTATTCCTGTGACTGTGGATGTGGCAGGGGCAGGGGTCGGTGTCAGTGACAATGTATAATAGAGCAACCCAAGTGAGAAAAGAAGCCTGAGAGTGACATTGTACTTGAATGTGATGGGCGCTAGTGCCTTGGGAAGACACAACACTGAGTAATGGGTAAGAAGTTGTGGGACACGGGAATAGAGAAAAAGAGAGTTGGTGGGGAGCAGGTGGCATGGTAGTTAGAGTGGCTGGATCACACATACCCGACTACATGGTTTTAGTCCTAGACCTGGCAACTTGAAAAACACACCTCTCTGCATGTGTGCACCCCAAAATTTTAAACAGAAAAATAGAGGAGAAGGAATTGTGATGTGACTAGCTCTTATGGATAGTCCTTTCTCACTTTCTCTCTGTTCTCTCTTTCACTCTGTCTCTCTGGCTAGGGCACCAGCTTTATAGGAAAATTTTGAAGTAGAGAGAGTGAGTAAGCAAAAATGAAGGAAGGCAGAAGAGGTGGTGGGATTCTGTGTTCACTGGGTCTGAGAAGAGAATGTGGGGTCTGTGAATTTAAGGGAAGGCCTATCCAGCTGATTCACCACCTGCTATAATATATTTTGTGATTTTCACTAGGACAAGTTTTATTCAAGGAAACTAACAACAACAACAACAACAACAAAAGGTGCTAGTCTTCATGTTTCAGGACAGCAGAGGACTCTTATCCTTATGTTGAATTCCTCTTTGTCAGGGTGATTTGGGTACATGAAGTGGGCTGTTAATTGAAACCTTAAAAGACACATTCTCCACACACAGCACTGACCTCTCTCAAGACCATTGCTTTTCATAAAAGAAACTCAGATAGGAGCTAGAGGGGAAGGCAGGTAGCATGGTGTTTAAGGGTGCTGGGCTCTCACATGACCAACTGTGATTTGAGTCCCGAACCTGGCTGCTTCCTTTCTCACTTTTTCTCTTTCTCTCTCTCTTTTCCCTCCATTCCTCTTGTCAAATAAAATAATAAAATAATAATATAAAATAAAATAAATTTAAATAAAAAGAGAAGCTAGATGAGGAGTCAGGGTTGGCTCTTCCTTAGGAAAAGGTGATATTCTCTGTGAATTCTTCTGTCCTCTTCTTAAAATGCTGTTTTTAGGCTGTGTCAAATCCTGACTCACAAGTATCCAGCCTCAGAAATCTGGTCACACTCACCCTTGACACTTACAGAGCCCCTTCCATCTCTGGGAAGGTTCCATCTCACCTTGGTCAGTGACATGGAAAACGTGAAGTTGCTCCATTTGGGGACCATCATGGGAAGAACTTTGCACT